ACATTAAAAAAAAACAAAAAAAATGTCTTCACCCTTTCCTGCTCTGACTTGGCTCTTGAGGGAGCCACGTGTGGACTCACCTGCCCACTCCCCCCTCCCTCAGATCCCCTCTTCTCCCAAAGTCACCTTTCAAGGTCAACAGGGTGGGGGCAGCCCACCTCTCCTTTCTACCTTTTTCTCTCCTCCTCCCTCTCCAGTCCAATGGGGAGAGCCCATAGACCCTCCCCAGCCCCCCCCCCCAGACAACCTGGGTTGCATCTGTTCCCCAGCACATGGTGTGAGAATGTAAAATCACACAGCTTGCCTTTCCTTGGCTGTGTGCCTGTCTCTTCATTCCTCAGATTGCTTTAAGTTCTTGGTCAACACATGTGGTCAAATCACTCATCTCGCCCCATCGCAGAAACTGCCATTGCCTTTGGAAATGGAGTGGGATGGATGAGGAGTGGTTCTGGGGAGTCCAGAATTGGGGGCTTTCTTTTGGGACTCCAAGCCGGCCTCTTTCCCCGCCTCCTCTTTAGAGACTGGGCAGGACCCAGTTGCCCTCCACAGGGCGCTGACGTCACCGGTACCCGCTCCCTGCCCAGCCAGGCCTCTCCCTCACCACATAGGATCTCTCTCATCGGACCATCCCCGGACCATCCCCAGCCTATCTGTTCTTCTATCTGTTCCTCGGCTTGGGGAAAGAGGAAAGGGCAGAGTAGGAGGGGCTCGGGGCGGGTTTGGGGACGGTGTGACAGGGCAGGTCCCTCTCTTTTTAGGAATCACTCGAGGAAACATTCTGCACATATTGGTTTTATCGACTGATGCTGGAATGGCTGTTGCCACGGCAGCAGAGGCTCCCACTGCAGTAGAGGATGGTGGGAAACTCAAGGGATGTGAAAGGAATCAAAAAAGAACCAGAGAGAGGGAGAGGTCGCATTAGGGAGTGTCTGAAAGTTCCAGGATGCCAAGATGACTCTTTAAAGAGGCCACCACATGGCCACCGCACAGCCCTTTAGAGAGAGTGGCAGCGGGAAGATGCGCGGTACCGGGTGGATGGAGAGAGGACTCGCACTCAAGGGGATTAGCACTGAACTAACTCATGGGATGAGCGTGGAAGGTGTTTTCCATTTCATGAACTGTCAGGTGGCCCCTCTTGCGGGAGGGAGTTGATGGTGGGGGCCTCGCGCCTCTCTTCTGGACATTTCTCTCTCCTTGAAGGAAGTAGAATTTCAGGAGCTGTTTATTGAAGGAAAGGTAGGGACCTGGGGACTTGGGGCACGGGATATCCCTGGAGAGGAGGCGCGCAGGAACAAAGGGGAGTAAAGAAAGGGAAGAGGCCAGGCTGGAATGCAGGAGCCAGGGAGGGCAGAGAGGAGCGTCATGTGCCGGGGGCAGTGGGCACGCGGGGGCACGGAAGTGCAGCTGGACAGAGCAACAGGTGGAGTAGTGCTTCGTAGCAATTCTGAAGGTTGACGGGAACAAAGCTAGAAACCCACAGGAGATGGGGGGCCAGATAAACCTAATAGGGGAGACCGTGTCAGGCTTGCTGGGGGCAGTGGACCACAGTGGAAACACTGTTTTCAGCCAGATGGCAACCAGTTAATCTCCCCGTGTCTACTAACGGGGAGCTGAGGGCCGCCTGGGTGGCTGAGTCGGTTAAGTGTGCGCCTTCGGCTCAGGTCATGATCCCGGGGTCCTGGGATCGAGCCCCACACCGGGCTCCCTGCTCAGCGGGAGTCTGGCTCTCCCTCTCCCTCTCCCCTGGCTTGTTCTCTCTCTCAAATAAATAAATACAATCTCAAAAAAAAAACAAAAAACAAAAACACTAAACTAAAGAGGAGCTGATTTCACATGCAGGGAAAGAGCACAGAGGGACAAGCAAGAGCTACAGTAACCTGGTAAATCAGAGAACACGTATCCCCAGATTCTCAAATTGCTATTTTTAGGAAAGGTGAGGTTCCCATGGGATTGAACTAGGCGTGTGTCTTGCAAACTAGAGAATGACCTCCGAGTAAGGACGAGGATTTAAGAGGTGATTGTTTTGCAGTTTCATTAAAGGTGACCCGTGGGGTGAGGGAGGAAGGGCGTGGTTACCCCCAAGACTTCGCACCAGTGATGGGCCCGGTCCCTTCCTTGAGTTGGGATCTTGTGTTTGGGCATAAGCGCGAGGACCTCATAAGCACCCAGAGAGCAAATCCCAGGCCTGGCCCCAGCCCTTGGGTGCTCCCTGTACCCCGGCAGGTGCTGGGGCCATACAGCGTTAAGTCCCTTTCGCCAGAGCTTCATTGCTTGTCTTTACTATCTGAAAGCACAAGCCTCGGTTCCGCCCCTGAGTTTCCTAAGCGCCAGGTCCAGACTCCCGAGGCCAGCCCGCATGTGCCCCCTGGATGTTCTGGTAAATTTTTGCACGCAGCCCCTTTCCTCTGCTCCTTTGAGGCGGTGGGGCGTGAGCCTGGGCAGCCTCCGGCTTCCTGCTCTCCTGGCCTGAGCTCTCCTGGCCTGAACCCTCCCCTCCTCCCTCCTGATCCTGCTGGGGGTTCCAGAAAGCCTTCAGGACCTCCTCTACCTACTCGGCCCAAGGGCACGGCCTCTCACTCCTGCGCTCACACGTCTCCTGCACCTGCTAAGGAAGGGCCGGACTCTGGGGCTGCAGCGCTGAATGAGACAGCCAGGGTCCCTGCTCTGGGGTCCGGTCTCTCTTGTCATCCTGCAGACAGTATCCACATCCCTGTGTGTCTCCATCTGATGAGAGAGTGTTGGGGTATGTGACATTGCTTTTTCACGGGGTCAGGATGCTATTTCCCAGATCTGTGTTGTCTGTTTTGAACTCCCTGCCAGACATCGGCGGGGGGGGGGGGGGGGGGGGAGACTCTCCATGTTTCTCTGTGTCAACCAAGGCCCAGCCGGGGGTCCGTGCTTCTTACCACACACCCCTCTGCTTGAAAACTCTGTGTTCTTGGTGCTGTGGTAGGAAGCACATCCCCTTGGTCATGATCCCTGTCCTTGCAGATTTTGTGGCATCTCACTGCAGCCCCCGGATTACGGAAGGGAGAGTCCTGGGGGCGCTAGGAGGACCCAAGAGCCATGTAGGGTGGTGCGGGCCGAGCGTACAGCACTTGGGCCTCCAGATTCATTTGACTAACACAGTTGCAGCATCTGCTGCATGCGGGGTGCTGAGAGACACGGTTCTGCACCCAGAAAGCTGCAGTGCTGGTGGAGGAGACAGACATGTACACAAATACCTCTCGCACGAGGCAGGCTGTGATGATTAGCACTACGGGAGTGGGTGAGCCACGAGACTCGGGCGCTGGGCTCTCCAGCTTCTAAGGGGACAGGCTGGAAGCTAGGGAGAGGGAGGTTGGGGACGGGGTCGGCAGATAGTCTGATGGGTAGCACATTCTGGCAAAGAGTTCCTGGCTGGCTCGGTTGGAAGGGCATGCACATCCTGATCTCAGGGTCATCAGTTCGAGCCCCATGTTGGGCGTAGAGATTACTAAAAAAAATAGATACACTTAAAAAAAAAAAGTGTTCTTAGGGCTTTACAGTCCCCAGTGTGAGGCTCCCCATCTGCGGCCTGTCTCTCCTGGAGCAAGCTTTGCTTCCAGAGACGTCCCCTCTGCTTTCCCCCTGTCCCCCCCTTTCTTGCCTGAGAACCTTTTGCTCAGGCCACTTGGCACCACTGACTTGGGAGAATGGGCAGTGTCGCCCTCTACTGAGGGACAGCCCCAGGCCGGCTGCTGCTGGCTCCCTCCCTCTGGGCCCCTACCCCTTCCGCTCCATCTCTCTTCGCTGAGTCCAGGTGGGAGGGGGGAGGAAGCTTAAGAAAATGCTGCCTTTTTAAATTGCTCTGCAGTCTCCCTTTAGGTCAGGCCCGCAGGGGACCCGCGCTAAGCCTCCACCTGATTTCCTCGGTTTGACAAAGCGCTTTACAGTTCCAAAGCCCTTTTCCCCAGTAAGCTGGTATTAGAACCACCGTCAGAGGAGAGGGCCAGCCAGAGGGGTGCAGTGACTTTGACAAGGTCACGCGCTCCACTATCCACTAGGCCGGGAGCCCAGGCTCCTGATCCCAAGGGTTGGTCCTTTCCTCCACGCCCTGAGCCCGGTCCCCAGTGGGCCTGTCCCGTCCCCTGTGCCCGACCCCTGGCAGTGCCCCCTACCTCTGGAGGGCAGCCGAGAGCCTCAGAGACCGCAGAGAGGTGGAACTGGGAGTCTCCAGGAGGGAAACCGCAGCGGTTTGGGGTGGGGGTGGGGGAAGCAGCCAGGGCCTCCCGCCCCGCTGCCGGCCTCCCCCGGCCCCGCAGCCCCGCAGCATCTCGACGGATGCTTGGCGCCCCCCTCCCCCCGGGCGCGGCAGGCGACCTCGGTGCCCTCCCAGGACCCGTGCCGCCTCCGCGTGAAGAGCGGGGCGCAGACCTGGTGGGAGCCCCCCGCCCCCCGCCCCTGCATCTCGGGCCGCAAACACCGCCCCCTCCCGGGCCAGAAATAGACGCGCGCGCGTCCCCCTCCCCGCGGCGCGCACACTCCTCCCCTCCTCCGGGTGGCTCCTCCGCCCTCCCTCCCTCCCTCCCTCCCTCCCCGCCCCTCCCCGCCCCGCCCCTCCCCCCTGCGCCCCGAGCCGCAGCCGCAGCCTCCCCTCCGGCGGCCGCCGAGAGCGCGCTCGGCCCGCGGGACCCAGGCGGGCGGCGGGACCGGGACCCGCGCCCCAGCACCTCGCCGCGCCCCCCGCCCCCCGCCCCCCGCGTCCTTGGGTCGCTCCGCCCGTTTTAATTTGTGTTTCCCCCGCCCCGCCCCGCCCCTCCTCCCCGCCCCCCGCTGGCCTCGCTCTTCCCTCCCCCCCGGCTCCCGTCCCCGCTCTCCGTCCCCGCGCCCTCGCGCCCTGCCCTCCCCGCCGCGTCCTCGCGGCTCCTTCCGTCCTTTCTCTCCCCCTCCCTCCCTCCGTCCCTCCCTCCCTCCCTCCGTCCCTCCCCGCCCCCTCCCTGCGCCGCCCCCGCCCCGCCCCCGCCCCGCCGGGCCTGCAGACGCGCGGATCGTCCATGCGCTCCCGGCGGGCAGGATGCTGGGCAGCGGCGTCAAGAGCGCGCAGCCCGAGCTGGAGCTGAGCGGCGGCGGCGGCGGCGGCGGCGGCGCGGACGAGGGCGCGGACGAGGCTCGGGGCGCCGGGCGCAGGGCGGCGGGGGACGGCAGAGGGATGCTGCCCAAGCGCGCCAAGGCCCCCGGCGGCGGCGGAGGAGGCGGCGGCGGGGGCGGCGGGGCCAAGGCCGGCGCGGCCGAGCTCAAGGTCTTCAAGTCCGGCAGCGTGGACGGCCGAGCGCCCGGCGGGCCCCCCGCCTCCAACCTGCGCAAGCAGAAGTCGCTCACCAACCTCTCGTTCCTCACCGACTCGGAGAAGAAGCTGCAGCTGTACGAGCCCGAGTGGAGCGACGACATGGCCAAGGCGCCCAAGGGCCTGGGCAAGGCGGGCGCCAAGGGCCGCGAGGGCGCGCTCATGTCCAAGACGCTGTCCAAGTCGGAGCACTCGCTCTTCCAGGCCAAGGGCGGCCCGGCGGCCGGCGCCAAGACCCCGCTGGCCCCGCTGGCGCCCGGCCTGGGGAAGCCCAGCCGCATCCCGCGCGGCCCCTACGCCGAGGTCAAGCCGCTCAGCAAGGCGCCCGAGGCGGCCGTGAGCGACGACGGCAAGTCGGACGACGAGCTGCTCTGCAGCAAGGCCAAGGCGCAGAAGGGCTCGGCGCCCGCGCCCGCCGCCAAGGGCCAGGAGGAGCGCGCCTTCCTCAAGGTGGACCCCGAGCTCGTGGTCACGGTGCTGGGAGACCTGGAGCAGCTGCTCTTCAGCCAGATGCTGGGTGAGTCCCGCCGCCCCGCCCCGCCCCGCCCCGCCCCGCCCGGGGCTCCCCCTGGGCAGCTGCGGGGAAGGTGTGGGGAGAGCCAGCCCGCTCCCCCTCCCCCTCCCCCGCCCCCTCCCCTCCTCCTGGGTGGCGGGGGGTGGGGGGGCTCCGTTGGCTCAGGTCGAGAGGGGCCTTGGGCCCACGCGTGCAGGGCCGGCCGGCCTCCCCGCAGAGGCGCAGGGCTAACGCGCGTCTTAGAGATGCCACCGGGCAGGAGCCCAGGCCCCGCTCCCAATGCCCAGAGGTGAGGCGGGACAATGGTGTGCGGGTCTCAGAGCCTCGGCAACGGAGCGCCCTGGCCTGCTGCGGTCCTAAAGCCCGGAGCCCTAATATGGCAGGACCTGGGGCGGAGGGAGACCCGGGCTGCGGGCCGCGTCGCGCCCGCCCTGCGCCCGGCGAGCCTGCATCCAGCATCACTGCTGGGGAGAGGCCGCCGAGCCCCGGATCTAGAGGACAGATGGGGGGAAGCAGATGTGAGGGCCGCTTGGCCCCCGAGCAGGGCAGAGCTGCGGCTCCGCTTCCTCTGTGGATCCCGGCGGGAGCGCGCGTCGGGTTTCCCGGGTGTGGGGGTCTGGCCCGGAGCCGGAGCCGGAGCCGGCCGGCCGGGCGGGCGGGCAGCTGCGCGCATCTGGACGAGGTCCCTACCCGGCCGGCCCAAGCCCTGCCCCCCGGGCGTTCGCAGAGAGCCGAGGGGGCAGCGCCCGGGCGCCGAGGCTCGAGGCTCGAGGCTCGCGGCCGACGGGGAAGCCTCTGCCCTTTGGCTGCTGGAAGCCGAGCGGGCGGGAAGGGAGGAACAAAGCTCGCTCGGGCGCAGGAAGCGCGGGGCTGCTCCATTGTTCTCCAGGCCTGAAGGGTCTATGCAAAAAACCCGGAGCGGCCCCGGAACTGCGCTCGCCCTCCCCGGAGAGCCCGGGCCCCGCGGGGGACAGTGGCCGCAGGGCTGCGGAGGGTGGTGGGTGGTGGCGAGGCCCGGAGCCGGGGGCCCCTGGTCCGCAGACTTGTTGCGGTGGCTGCGTGGCGGGCGCTGGGACCCGGGCCTCCCCGGGGGAGCAGGCTGCCCGGCCCGCTGGGGGCTGGGAAGGGGCGTGGAGGGCGCCCGTGGAGGGGCGGGCGGGTGTCGGCCCGCAGCCTGGGGGGGACGCGCCAGGAGCCTCTGGGAGTGGTGGATGGGGAGCCTCCCCTGCAGGCCGCGCGTGGGCTCTGCGGGCCGTGGAGGCTGCGCCCAGGCGAAGGCCCCAGAGAGCTCTGTCCTGAAGGCCCCGTGTCCGCAGGGACCGGTGGGGGGGGCTGGGGGCTCCCAAGCCGACAGGGCGGCCTCCCGCTGCAAAGGGCAAGTGTCACCCCTGCGCTGGGGGGCGGCCCACTCGGAGCCTACAGCCCAGCAGGGTGAGACAGATAGCGGAGACCTAATTCCAGGCATCAGGAGGGCCGTGGAGAAAATGGAAGGGGACCCTGTGCTAGAGGACTGGCAAGGAGAGGTCTTTAAGCTTAAGGAGGTGATAATTGAATCCTACGTGAGGCAAGAAGAGGCAGGAGGCAGGCAGGCAGGCCGGCTCGGCTAGGGCTCTAGGGCTCTAGGGCTCGGGAGGAACATTCCCCATCCACTTAGAGGCCGATGTGCAAGGGGTGTAGATGGTGCTAGAGCAGAGGAACTGAGTGTCTCTGACTGTTTCCTGGGGAGGGGAAGGGAGTGTTAGGGACTCAGAAAAGTAGAGGGCACAGCTCCCTTTTCAAGGTCAGGGCTTCACTTGTTTGGGATGACCCAGCTGATCTGGGCTGCCCCCCACACCTGCGAGACCCAGGACTGCCCCACGGCCTGGCTGCCTCGCAGCTGTTCTTCAAGAGGTGGTCACCTGGGAAGCTCTGCGGGAGAGTCCTAGAGCTGGCTAGGGTGGAGGTGGAGGGCAGGAGACGGGAGAACCTGAGCTGGGGTCCCTTACTCCTATTCAGCGGTTGTCATTCCCAAAGCACACTTGTGCCACAGCCCTTCTCTGGGAATCTTAAGATAAGGAGAGGACACCTCCCCTCCCCCACTTCCCAGTTGCAGAAAATGCAAGGTCAAAAGCATCGAGGGCTTTATTAGGGCCTTCTCTGAGCTCGTCGTGGAAGGCAGGTTGGTTCTGCTTGTGTCCCTAAGTCACTGGCTCCATTTGGGAGCCCAATGGAGAAAGGGGAGTCAGCAGGTCAAGAGGGGCCTGACCAAGGCAAGTGTCTCTGGACATGGGCCCCTGCCCTGACCTGCTGAGCCTGCAGGGGGGCGGAGGGGCTAAGACCTCTGGTGGGGGGAGAGGGGTAGAAGATCTGGCACACATGCTGGACTGCTTGGGGCTCTAAGGACCAAGGCAGGGGTGGGGTGTGTGGGTAGGACCTGGGGGACGGTGCTTGGCACCACGGGGAGGTGGGAGCTGGAGCCTTCAGGCAAAAATCTCTCCTCTGTGTGAAGGTGGGAGTTGGGGCGGAGGGTAGACTGAGCCTTTCGGGGGCTAGGGGACAACAGAGCTGGGTCAGTCTCTCTGAGCATGTGAAGGTGTCCCAGGCCGTCAGGACCAGCCTTAGCTGGAGAGCAGGGTGGCTTCTGAGGGGGAGAGGGGCTGCTGCCTCAGTGCCTCAGGATGGTGGCTAAAAACAGAGTATTTGTTCCCTACCTGGGAGGCTAAGGGTCAAAGGTTACACATCCCTTGGTGCCATCCCGAACCGAGAAGCTGCCAAGACCCCATTTCTGGGGAGCAGGTGGGGAGGAGGGGGGAGGCCGCTCCAAGTAAGAGCCTTTCTGGAATAAAAGAGAGGAGCTGAAATTCGATCATTCCTTTCCCAGAAATCAGCTGGGACCCAGATGGTCTAGGCAGGCTCTGTGCCCCCTTTCCTTTGGAACTTTGGAAGCTGCCAAATAACTAGGGTCCCACCGGGGAACCCTGGAAACTTGGAAGACTGAAGGGTGAGTGCCCAGGGGAAAATGAGCCAATCCCGGGAATCAGATGCCTTTGGACCCCGGCCGATAGTCCACGTCAGGCAGTTTGGCTCCGAGGGAGGAAATGGCAGCAGACCTGGGCCTGGGGGTAGGTTGGGAGGCTGCAGTCCTGAGTCCCTCCGTCCAGAAGTTCTAAGCTCAGGGACCTCCTCTAGGACCCAGGTTCCTCACTTGGGAATGGAAGAGACCCTCCCATGGCTCTTCCCTACCTGTCGTGATGGGGAGGGGGCTGCAGATTAAGGACATCAGGCTTGAAAATGGTCCCGGGCCATTTAAATGCAAACTGCCATCCCAAACCACCCTCTTCCTGCCTCAGCAGCCCTGGCCTTAGGATCTCAAAGGAAAATCAGTCTGTTGACTCCCTCCCTGCACATTCAGTCTTCCTTTCCTCAGCCCTCGAGGCAAAGGGACAAAGTGGAACAGCCAAGGCAGCTCAAGGTCAGGGTGTAAAGGAACCCAGGTGGCTGGAATTCCTGGTCCCACTTCCTCAAGAAGGTGTCTGGAGGGGTTGCCATGACAACAGTCAGGCCCTGCCGAGGCTCAGAGCCAACGGAACTGGGGAAGGAAGACGGAAGTCATCCATTTCTAAGCCAATTGGTTGATGTGGGTTGCAGGGGGGTGGGGTGAGGGTGGGGTTTACCCTCCAGAGTGTGTTGGGGATGCTTTGAACCAAGGGTGGGGGGGTAAGAAATGACTTCCTTTTTCTTCAGGCCACTGGGGGGTCTGGGTGGAGAGAGGAGTTCTCCAGAAAAGAACTGAGGGCCAAAGGACAGACACAGGTGGTTTGTGCAGCCTCGCCCAGCACCCTCGGGTCAGAGGCTCCATGCCCAGAGCCGCTCTCCAGGCCTTCCCACGGGTTCCCCGAGGCCTAGCAGGGACGCGAGCACCAAGCCCACCTCTGGCCTTCCCCGGGCACAGCGGGCCGCTGGAGGATGCTCGAGGAGTCCCAGGCTGAAGGTGAGCATGCACGTGGAGAAGAAATGGCCCAGAACCTTCCACTTGCAAGGCCGCCTGCCTTCCTCGGGGTTAGCACTGAGGGGAACATTTCTTTTCTCACCTGCTCACGACTTTTTCTTCCCTGTGAAGACTTTGTGCTTTCCGGGGGCCCCATCCCGGTCCTGGTCCCATCCTTTGGCCATTTCCTTGTTCAGACTGCGGTAGCAAAGCTGTTCTCTTCACGTGGCCGCCGGGGCTCTGCGTCTCAGTCGTGGGTGGATGCGTGAGCAGGTCTTTGGGGGCGGTTTCTCTGCTCTGGGGAGAAGCAGGTGGAGGGGAACTGCCTGGAGCTTCTGCGCTTCCCTGCAGCGTAAACCAGCCCGGGGAGATGCCCTTTATCGTCGGGGTGGCCCCAAGCCCAGAATGGGCAACAGGACCAAGTCCCCTGGAATCCTCGGGTGCTTCCTCATACTTCCTCTTGTCCTCCACGCCCCCACGCACATATCTGCTGCTGTGGCCACAGCTGCCCCCCCAGGACCTGTCCCCAAGCCTAGGCTGCCAGCACCAGGTATCTTCTCCCGGTGACTTTCTGCTTCTCTGCAGCTGCCCCTCCACGCACACTCTGACCCTGAGGGCTAAGGTGCCGGTTGCCCCCTGGGGCTCAGCGGGGAGCCAGTCCTGCAGGGAGCCCCCAGCATCCCACACTGGGCTCAGCACCCTGCTGGCCGCTCCACCTCTGCAGCACACTGCAGGCTCCTGGTACAGGCAGGGAGCGCGACCCCCTCCCCCCCTTCCCTTGGGATTTCACGGAACCGCAGAGTGGAAACGTCTAGTTGAGCCACCCACACCTAAAGCTGAAATTAATCCCTCTTACGGCATCAGAGGCAGGTGGGTGTTCTGTTTACACACTCCTAGTGACAGAGGGCTCACTACCTTGTTTTCCTGGAAAGCGCTCGCTCATTATTGGAGAGCCTGTTAGGCTGAGAGTCTTCTTTCTGAGAATTTCCACGCATGAGTCCAAACCTGTCATCTGGATCCTTGCAGGTTAAGCTGG